CCTCGGCTGGGCGGCGGCGGGGGCGCGGCTTGCGGCTGGCCGCCTTTCGAAGGCCCATTTCGTTTTTTTGGCGTGGCTTGAGCCGCTGGTGGGCCTTCCTCATCCGCAGCCTGTTGCTCCTCCCCCTCATCACCATCATCCTCCTCCACTCGCCCCCGCTTGCCGCGCTTCGCTCCCGCACGCCCGGCAGGCCGTGCCGCCGCCTCGAGCGGGGCTGCCGCAGCTGCGGTTGCGCCTGCCGCGGCGCCCTTGCGCACCGCGCGCCCCTTGCGGTCTCCCTCGACGCAAGTGACCGCCGGAGCCTCTGCCTGCTGCGTGGGCGGCTTGCGCCTGGAAGGTTCCTTGCCACCTAGGGCCCCCTCCGGCCGACCCGATGCCTGCTCGCGCCTCTCGGCTGCCGCCGCGCTTGGCGCCCCGCGCCGCCTCCTGCTGCTGCCCCGCGGCTGCCCCTCCTCTAGCCCCTCGGGCTCCTCCCTCTGGTCGTCGACGTGGGCTGCGCTCCGCTGCTGCTGCTGCTTCTGCTGCCTACGCCCTTCCCGCTGCTCCCGATGTTGCTGTGCCTGCTGCGGCTGCTGCTGCTGCTTAGTGTGGTGGGCCGTGCTGTCATCAGCATTGTGAATGCCGAGTGTGCTGTCCAGCACAGCACCCAGCGCCTGCTCCGCGCTGATGCGCCGCACGCTGCTGCGCCGGCCGCTGGGCTTCTTAGCTGGAGAAGCGGCGGCCAGTGCACCGCTCACGGATGGGCCCGCAGAGTGGGGCGCGTTCCCGTCACCAACACCCGCCGCCGTCACCAAGCCGCCTATCCGCGCCCGCTTGATGCGCTTCAGCGGCTTGTGCTGCCAATTAGAACTGGCCCGGGCGGCCGCCTCCGCCTGTGCTGCCCGCGCTGCAGCCGCCGCGGCTCGCTGCTCGGCTGCAGCGACGACCCCGGCTGCCGCCGCCGCTGCCGAGGCGTCCACTTCCGCTACTGAGCGCGCCTCTGCGTGGGAGAGTCCTGCCCCCTCTGAGACGGCGTCACCCTGGCTGTGGGCACCACTCTCTTGACGAGGCTGGGCTACTGCTGCCGTCGCCTGCTGCGGCTCCTGCTGCTGCTCCGACTGCTGCTGCTGCTGCTGCTGCTGCTGCTGCTGCTGCTGCTGCTGCTGTGGTGGCGGCGGTGGATGCTGCTTATGCAGCAGCGATCGCAGCGCCTCCTCCTCCTCCTCCCCTTCGTCCTCCTCCATCTCCTCCTTGTCCTCCTCCTTCGCATCAGCCCCAACCCCAATCGGCGCAAGGCCAAAGCCCAGGTGTTCCCCGGACGATGGCGCCAGCGCTGTCACAAGATCGCCCAGCTGAGAGAAGCGAAGCGCCTGGCCAAAGCCGCCGCCCGCGCCGCCAGAAGACGGTGCAGGGCAGCCACCGCTGACCCCGGTGCCGCCGGCGCTGTGCGGCGGAGCCGCGGCGGCGGCGGCAGCGGCGGCGGCGTTGCCGTCGCCGCTGCCCGGCGGGCGCCGCCATTGCGGTCGGCCGACGCCGCCGACGTCGGCATTGCCAGATGGCGTGGACGCCGCAGCCGGCGCCGCCGGCGCGCCTCCAGCCGTCGGGCGCTCGGGGGACCCCGTTGCGCACACGGCACCGGCGGCGCCGGCACTGCTGCCCCCCGGGCTGCTGGGCGCGGGCCCTCCGTCCTCCGCACTAGTGCTGGGGTCGGCGCCTTGGGCAGCGGCGGCGTCTTGGCTGCCTCGCACTGCCGCCTGCTGCAGGGCGCCCGTGGCCGCGGCCTGCGGTGTATTAAGGCGGGAGTCGGGATACCCAGGCGGCCGGTCAACCTCGGATGCGCACCAACGCCAACCGGTGCAACACCCACAGGGCGGCGGCACGCACCAAACCCCCGGCCCCGAGCGAAGCGCGCCGCCACACGCGCCAGGGACCTGTTGTTGCCAGCCCCATGCTGCAGCCGCCGCACCTACCTGTTCCAAGGAGGGCCCGCGCGGCGACTGAGGCCCTGGCTCCTGCAAACCCGCCTCTCCTGCCGTCAGCTCTGGTGCGTCGGCGCCCCCCGCGGCCCCGGCCCCTTGCCCCTGGCTCTCCTCATCCTCAGAAGCACCTTCCTGCCAGCCGCCGCCAGTAGGCTGCGTGCTGCCCAGAAAGCCGTCATGCTCTGGCAGCGGCTGCGTGGTCGGCAGGCCGCCGCCCGCCTCCTCCATGTCCGCCATTTCTTCGTCCTCGCCGCCGCCGTCGCCGTCGCCGCCATCACTGTCGCCGCCTCTGCTGGCGTCCGCCTCGCTCGCGTGCGGCACTTCTTCTGCTGCTTGTGGCGCCGCTGCTGCAGCCGCGGGCGCCGCTGCTAATGCATTGGGCGCCCCTGCCGTCGCGCCGCCGTCTTCGTGATGCGAGAACCCCTCCTGCTGCTCGTTGCGACACCGCGCGGCTCCCTCTGCTGCCTGCCCTGCTTCAGCCACCACCTCTGCTGGCGCCGCCGGCGTGGCGGTCGCGGGTGCTGCCGCTGCTGCCGCTGCGTCTGCTGGTGCTGCCTCCGCTAGTGCTGCCGCTGCTGCCGCTCGTGCTCCTGCTGCTGCCGCCGCTGCGTCTGCCGCATCCGCAGGTGTAGCTGCGTCTGCTAGTGCTGTCGCCGCTGCTGCCTCCTCCATATGATACTCCGCCATGGCATCCTCATCTTCGTCTTCTGTCCCGCCGCCCTCCTCCGTGTCACCGCCCTGGACGGCGGCAACGCCCTCCCCTGCCTCACCCGCACGCCCAACGGCCGGGCTGGCGGGGCTCTGCTCATTCTCAGCAACTGCAACCTCAACGGCAGCTGCTGCATCGCCAGGGGTTGCAACGCCGGGCGAGAGCTGCCGGCCATCCAGGCTGCTGGCTGCTTGAGGGGAGGGCTGGGGCGGGGGGCTGCCGGCTACCGGACCCACAGGCGCGGCGCCTGTTGGCTGCTGCAATTCCAATGCTTCACGCCACTGCTGCGGCGACTGCAGCGGCGGCGGCAGCTGTTCCTGCTGATTGGGCGCCTGTCCGCTATCCCCATTCGCCGTCCCCTCTCCCAAGTGCTCTTCGAGCACAACCGGCGCCGACTGCCGCATTCCAGCACCAGAGTCCGGCTGCGTCCGCTCCTCGCTCACCCCCGGGCCCGCGGCGCCGCCCGCGGGCCGCGTCGCCCCGGCCGCCGCCGCGCTGTCGGCTGCGCCCGACGCGGGGAATTCACCATGCTCCGTCTTAAATTCCGCTTCCAGGTCCAGCTGGGGCCCTTCGCCGGCCCCACTGCGCGGCGCCGGCGGTGCCGCGGCGGCCGCTGCCGGCGCCGCAGGCGGCTGGCTGGGCGGGGGCACGACAAAGGGGGCATCGTCCACCAGGCGCCACTCCAGAAGGCACGCGTTGATCCAGTCCAGCGTCACAATGTGGACGCCCCACCTGGGCGGCGGTCGCGAGCACACGCGCGTGCGCATGGGTGAGGAGACGTGGTGGGCGCGCGTGGGCGTGCGCATGCACGCAAATTCTGGAGCAAGCCGGCGCGGAAGTGCCATCGCAGGCAGGGCGTGCCTTGGCGCACGCGCACAGCCGATGAATGCCGCCCCAGGCCCTGAAACGCACGAGTCGGCGGTGGCGGTCTTCTGGGAGCGCTCCAGCGGCAGCTGCACCACCAGGTGTGTCGCGGTGCGCGCCATCGCCCCCGTAAACCTAACGCCGGTGCACTGCAGTGGAAAGGGCAGGGCGGCAGGCCGCGCGGTGGTCATGCAGCCAAGGGCGCATCGCGTCACTCGGCTGGCATACGCTCGGGATGCATGGACAAGCGGGGATGCGAGAATTAAAGCCGGCGATGGGCGGGGCGCGCAGCAGTTGTACATGCGGGATGGGCTGCGCGTGCTGCGCATGTTGTGCGTGCTGCGCGTGCTGCGCGTGCTGCGCGTGCTGCGCGTGCTGCGATGCATGACGCCCACCTGGATCCTGTAGCGCGCCATGTCCCTGTCGGGGCCCTGCAAGAGTGCATGTGCCAGGGAGGCAGGTGGCAGGCCGAGCATGATGGGAGGCGCTGACATGCCCGTTCATTGTGCATGCGGCTGCTGGTCTGGGAGCTGCGCTTTCAGTGCTCCATGCAGTGCGTGAGTGCGCCCAGCGGCCCAGTGTTGATGAGCCCAACCCATCTGGCCACTTTTCTGCAGCTGCTGTGTTGAGAAGCAAAGCAGAGTGTCCCCTGCCATCATCCCCAGATGTGCCGCCGGCCACATGTACAGCCCACACCTTGATGTTCGAGAGGGTAATCTCGTAGCCGGACTCTGCCATTCCAGGGATGGCCGGGCCCGGGTAGGGCGGGAAGTCCTCCTGTGTGCACGCCGCCGCGCGGCGGCTCGTGAGGTTGGGATGCTTGCTGCTGCACCCACGACCGTGCTGGCGCGCCAGCCCCCAAGACCAGGCGTCGCTTGCGCGAATTTGCTGGGGGCTGGGGTGCAGCAAGCGCGCCCGCCCATCCAATTGGCAGCCTCTTGACCGCCGATACAATGCCAAACAAGCGCACGACAGCCCGAGTCTTGCATCTGGACCATTGAAAGAGGCATGCTGCTGCTGTGTGCGCGCGGCCTCACCGGCGGCGGCCGCCGCAGCCTCCCTGGCTCCGCGCTGGCGGTCACATACTCTGCGGCCACCACCTGCACGTGCGGCGCCTCCACGCGCTGCAGGATGGCCTGCTGCGCGTGGCGCACGACCACATGTGTGCACCCCGCCTCGAGAGATGAGACCACCTCGCCGCCCAGGGCGGCTGCACAACGCGTCGGCGATTCCATGGGCGCAAGGGCAAGGGGCGGGGGCTGGCTCAGCTTCGCAGGCCCTTGGGGCCCAGGGTTGCATGGCCGAGCTTGCGCACACAGTCAATGGGATGGCGCGGGGTGCTGCTGTGACTCTGGCGCGGCTCACCTATTTCCTTGCAGAGGCGGTCCTCAAACGAGTTGCCGCCGCAGCCATCAAGGTCGATGACGAAGCGGCAGTCCTGCAGCAAAGGCGTTTGGCGCACGACGCATTTTGATTCCTTGCAAGCTGCGCGCCGTGCGCCGACCAACAACGCGGCCACGCCCACGCACACCGCCGGCCCACCTCCAGCAGCTGCATGTGAGCATCACTTGTGGGTACGATCAGCAATTACACAACCATTTCTGCTCCGCTCAAGTAGCCTGCTAGGAATTCTTAAGTTTGGTGTCAATTACCCCGTGATCTCATGCTGAGATTGCAAACAAGAGTCAAATTTGACGCGCCAAAACTTTTGAGGCAGATACAGCACACGAAAGTGACGTGAGTAACCCGTGGTGCCGCTTGGCTTCAAATCTTGCGAGTGAGAGCGGTGCAACGCCTCCTGAGAAGTCGTTCTGATCATTAAATATAGATCATCTCAAATATACAGCACCGCCCGGCCCCATCTCGCAGACCGGCGATGCACAGAGTCGCAGTCCATCCCATCGGCCTCAGGACTCACGCGCACCGACATGAAACGGCTCGCACGGGATGTTGCAAACATACGCAAGCGCTGCCGGTGCCGCGGGTAGCCCCCTTCACCACGCGCGCCTTGCATGACTGCGTCGTCATGCCGCACTGCATCGCTGGCGTCGACCTTGCAAGCAGCAGCAGCCCCGCAGCCGCGCCCGCCGTGGCTGCCGCCTGGCGCACCGCGGTGGCGGAGGAGATGCAGCTGCCCGAGCGGCGCCCCGCGGAGCTCGTCGGCGAGCTGCGGGCGCTCTCCGAGGCGGCCGCGGCCGCGGGCCCCGATGGGGAGGAATGCCTGTCCGACCTCCTCCTCTCTGGCACGTGGATCCTATCCCTCCGCGCCGCCGCAGCCACCAAGCTGCACACGTTTGGCGCCGCGCGCCTCGCCGCGCTCGTCTCCGCCCTCGGGCGCCTACCGCTGCACGCCGAAGCGTCGCCGCTGCCAATCGGGTTTGGCACGCCGCGCTGGGCGCTGCCACGCGCGGTGGCGGACACGGGGACATGGGAGTCATTCCTATGCGCCACAACCGACGCGTTCCTAGAAGACCTCGACCGGCTGTTGCAGGAAGAGTCGGGCGGTGGCAGCTCAGGGCCCGGACGCGGCGGCGCCGCCGCGGGTGCGCCGCCTGAGGCGCAGGCCGCGCTGGCAGCGTTTGCCTGCGGCCTCGCCGCCAGCAACAAGTGGACAATGGCGCGCGTGGACGCGGGCTGGGTGGTGTCAGAGGAGTGCGAGCGGCGCGTCGCGGCGTTTGTCGCGCTGCACTGGCCACGGCTGGTCTCCCAACTTGAGCGGATCGACGCCGACTCGGCGGCCCCCCCAGGGGAGGCCGCGGGCGCGGGCGCCGCGGGCCAACGGCGCCGCCGCCTGCGCCGCTCGGCGCTGTCGACCCTCCTTGCGCGCGCGCAGCTGCAGCAGCGGATGAGCCCGCCGGCGGCGCTGCTCGAGCGGTTCTTCGATGAGTCGCCGCCGCCAGCGCTCTGGCGGGCGGTGGCGGGCGGCGGCGGTGACGTCATCGCTGATGTCAGCGGCGACGCCGATGACTCATACTCCTTGGAGGACCTCGAGCAGATCGTGCGGACGCTGATGCAGATCGGCTGCAGCCCCTCTGAGCGGTGGCTGCACGGGCTCGTGGGGGTGGTGACCGCGCGGCGCCCCGAGATGGGGCAGCAGCAGCTGCGCGGCTTTGTGGAGGCGCTCAGGTGCGCGGGGCGCCTTGCAATTGATGAGAGGCGGGGCGCGGCGCGTCGCGCGTCGACTAGCGTTGGGGCCTTGCGCATGCCCCCAGGCGCAGTGTCAGTGTGCTGCTGGCCGCACCTGCGAATTCGGAGCCGCGGTCCAACCCTGCTGCACCCCACCCTGCCTCCTGCTGTGCCTCGGCCTGGCCTGAACCCTCCCTGTGCGGGCGCCCCGGCTCCTGCCCTGCAGGTTTTTCCGGACGCAGCGCGGGACCAGCAAGCAGCTGCGCAACGGCATCAGCCTGCTGAGCGAGTGGCTGTGAGCGTGCTGTCCCAGGGGCCCTGCCCTCCCCGCTTTTTCCTGAACGTGGGGCGCCACCCGGTCTGTGCCTGGGCCAAGCAATTGCGAGGCAGGCGCTGACTCCGTTGAGGGATGCCGAGAGACCAACGCGCCGCTTGAGTCGAGAGGGCCAGCGCCCTGCCCGCCATGGGTTGACAAACCCTCTGCGCCCCGTGTACTTGCCCATGCATGCCTGTGCGTGTGATTTTGCGCCGCGAATACGCTCATCGCGTGATCTGTTCCCTCCGCATGCAGTCCGCACCACTCTCGCCGTGCGATGCGGTCGTGTGCCGATCAGAATTGACACATGCTTGGCGGCGCGGTGAGCCCTCATCTTGGCCAAGGGCGGCGCCACCAGCCAAATAATGCGGACGGCCGGCTCTCGAACACTCCACTTGATGGGTTCCACCAGTTGCGCTTTCGTCCGTCTGTCTTTTTTCCCTGGCCGTTCCCCTTCATAATGCCTTCCTGCCCAGCTGCCCCAGCCGTGCAGCGCCTGCGGGCTCCTGCGCGAGGCCGCGCCCCCACGCAACCCAGTCCGCGTTTTCACTGGCATGAGAGAACAACGGCGTGGCGCGCGCGGCCCACTTGCGCGCCGCAAACGTACTCGACCCCAGTGCGGTGTGCCGCACCTGTGACTAGCCGCGTGGCGCAGCCTTGCTGCGAGTCCTGTTCCCCCAACATGCACGCGACGCTGCTGCCACTGAAAGCTGTTCACCTCTGCGCAGTGTGCGCGGGCCGACGCTGGTTGCTTTGCAGGCAGCGTGGGTGTCCTTATTCTGCTACCTGCGCCGCCCACCGTACCCCGCGGCCGCTCATCGCGTGGGTTCGCCCTGCACGCCCAAAGCAGCGCTATTCACTTTGCGGCAAGCGGCTCGCGCCCTGCCCAACAGGCTGGGCTTGTGAGTGGCTGACAAAAGCCTGCGCTATCACATGCACTGATGCCCGGCGGGCAGCATTACCCAGAGCCGCCCATCCAGTGGGTGCAAGCACACATGCAAAGGGACACCGTCTCAGGGTTACATGGAGCGGCGCAGTTGCATGGCACGCTTGGCATCAACGCCTCTAGTGTACACACACGAGAACGCAGCAGCAGCACGCAAGTGGGCTATGAAAGCAGAGGGCCTGAGTGGGGTGCATTTATCGCTCCTGTCCTCCGCTTGTCGCCGCTCATTGCATGCAGGCAGACGCAAAATGCAAGGGGGCGCTACCAAAAGGAAGGCGGATGAAAATCCGCTGAAAATCCGCTGGAACATCAATGAGGGCATACCAGGTTTGAGTTGTCTGTCTGTTGACCGCACAGTCGCCGCGCGGATTCCTGCTTGATGGCGTGTGCGAGACACACTCGCACCAGCCTCGGCACGCGACAGGGGCGGTGCGTGTGAGTTTGTGGCCTGACGTTCAGTCCAGTCTGAAAGACAAAGATGGTGAACGAGCAAATCAGCATGGCCACTTGCCAGGGCCAACCAAGTCCGGCATGCCGGCAACGACGCGCTGGCGCCGTTGGTGGGAATCCAAAAAAGAATGATCAGAATCTTCAGGCCGAAACCGTGGCTGCCAAGGCGTACATGCGTACAATCATGTTAGTATGTCTCAGAATCCATGCACTGGCCTCTGCAGGCAAGCGCTGGGGCTGAGCGGCCACGCCGCGGGAGGGTGGCAAAAAGGGCCGGATCAAATCGACTGCTCCAGGTCGCTTGAGACGACGCTGCTGCTGAGCGACGCAGACTTTCGGTGGCCGCTCATCTCTTGCAGCTCCATCGTCTGCTCAGGCAGGGGCTTCTCCGGCCCTTTGAACATGGAGCCGAATGCGGTGGCGCCCTTGCCAAAGCTGCTCCACGCGCCCTTGCCGAAGCGCGCAATTGCCTTGCGCGCGGGCGCGGGCGCCGCCGCCTTGGGCACATCCACGCTGGAGGTGGCCTCGGGCTGCATGACTGAAAGCTGTTATGAGAATCCTGAGCAAAGCCTGGGAAGCGTGGGAGGGCGTTGTGAGCAGGGCGGAGCAAGGCTGACGACGACTCGCGCCATGACGGTCAAGCATTTTGGCCTGACACTGAGCTCTGGATGGCGTGAAATGTCTCCGACTTGAGTGATGCGGGTAAAGGCCGGCCCTCCATGCCATGCGCACCTCCAGCTGGAGGAGTGAGGAGCGTGAAGACGTGCCTCGGCGATGTTGATAGCTGAGGTAAAAACGTATATGACGTATTTTCAACAACGGATCGCCACGGAAGCATGCACGGCTCGGAAATCGACCCAGCTGCATCGAACGGGAAGCTGGGAGCCGCAGCGGGCATGTGAATGTCGATCACTCTGGCATGTGGGATGTTTGGCAGGCCAAAGGTGCTAGCTTGCCCTGGGGCTGTGCTTCGTCCCGTAGCTTTGTGTATGCTCGCGCTGATCTGACCAAGTTCTGTTGACCACACTGCGCATGCATGAGCCCCTCAAAGAGGGCCTTTTGGCCGAAGGAAGGAGGACGGCCTAATTCATCACAGCACTGCACTTACAGTACCGCTATCAGCTGATGCGGCGGTGGGCAAGATTTTCTCAGGGCGCCCCAACAGACTGCACACAGACGCAGTGTCGCAACATGATCAATTGCCAGGTGCAAGCTTCTGTGGGTCCATATGTCAGCTACAAAACGATGAGTAAGTGATCAGAGTCCGAAGCTTGTTGTGGCAGGGCAGGTGTCCACGTGCTGGCATCCCTTCATCCGCTGGTGCTGCGCTGCTGCATTAGTGGCTGCTGCTGCTGCTCCAGCTGCTGGGCGCGCCCCGCCGCCATCGCCGCCGCCATGGCAAGCGCACTCATCACCCCGCTCCACTGCAGCATGGGCACCACCACCCGCCCGAATGCGCCCCGCCGCCGCCTCCGCCCGCTTTCTGCCCCGCTTTCCGCCGCCCCCGCCCCCCCAGCCGCACCCTCGCCAGTCGAAGTCCCCCCTTGATCCTCCGCCGCACCGCCTAACTCCACGTCTGCTGAGGCCGCTGTTGCCATGTTGGCCGCCTTGCTGCCTGGCTGCGCGGCCTCAGGGTGGAAGGCTGCAAGTTGCGCCTCCAGGTCCACCTTTGCAGCCTCGAGCTCCTTCAGCTGCAGCGCCTGCATCTTGGACTGCCGCGCCGAGCGCGCGCGCTGTGCTGACAGCGCAGACAGCTGCCCCTCCAGCTCCCGCACGCGCGCCGCTGCCGCGTTGGTCTCGACCCTGACACTTGCCGCCGTCGCCGCTGCCGCGGCCTCAGCCGCCGCCGCAGACAGGGCTGCGTCAGCGTCGGCGCGGGCGCTCTCCGCGGCTGCCTGTGCGGACGTCAGTGCCCGCGTCAACCGCTGTCCCTCGACTTCGGCCAGCCGCAGCTCCTGCTGCGCCGCGCGCTCGCGCGCTGCCGCAGCGTCGGCCGCGCAGCGTGCCTCCTCGCACTTTGTGGCCAGGGACTCCGCTCTCTGCTGCGCGTGCTGCAGCCGCGCTTCCAGCTCCCGCAGCGCACTGCCCCCCGACGACACAGACGCCGCCAGCTGCTCGCCCAGCCGCGCCGCGGCCTCGCGCGCGGCGCGTGCATCCGCAGCCGACTCGGCCGCCGCGGCGCGCGCGGCGCGCTCGCCGGCGTCCAGCGCGGCCGCGGCCTCCTCTGCTGCCAGCTGCGCAGCGGCCGCCCCTGCCGCCTGCCTCTCGAGCTCGGCCTGCGCCTCTTGTGAGAGCCGCACCTCCGCCTCTGCTCGGCTGGCGCGCTCCTCCGCATCGCACACGCGCGACTCCGCCGCCCGCAGCAGCTCATGTATACGCCCCACGCCCTCGCGCTGCGCAGCCAGCGCGGCCTCCACCCCTGCCAAGCGTGCGGCTGCCCCCGCCGCCTCTGCCAGCTGGGCACGTGCCACCTCCAGCTCCGTGCCCTGGGCGGCGGCGCGCTGAAGCAGCTGCTGGCACTCCGCATCGCGCGCCGCGCACAGCTCATTGCTGGCTCGCAGGTCAGCCTGGTTTGCAATTTTGAGGGTTTGAAAGTGTTGGGAGGTTTATTTGAGAAGGCATGCGGTGTGTGGGTGGGGGGTCTTGCGCAAGGGCTGAAGCGCCGCTCTGGACCGACCAAGCCTGACGCAGAGCACCAAGGCGGGGCATGCCGAATCCTTGTCACCGCCATGTCGGGCGCACAGCCTACCTGCAGCTGCGCCAGCTGTTGCTCCAGCTCCGGCAGGCGCTCCTTGGCCGCCTGCATTTGGTCCGCGCGCGCCGCCGCCTGGTTGCGCGCCTCTACGGCAACGTTTTTCTCGTCCTGCAGCACGTCGATTCGCTTGATGGCGGTGTTGAGCTGCTTCTGTTGGCATTGTTACACGTCAGAGAGAGGAGACAGCAAGAAATAAGAAGGGATGTGGGAGAAAGGGGTGGGAAGATGTTGTGTATGATGGTGTGTGAATATGTGTATATGTGTGTGTGTGTGTACCTTATGTGCCCATGGGCAATTGCTGGGCAATTGGTGAATCCAGGCTGCAAACGCTTGGCGCACCACGGGTGCAGAATGACGCGGAGCAGAGCAGCCTCTGGACAAGTCGAAATGGTGTCGTGCTCAGGGCACAGTGGGCCAATGCCCACCTGCAGCGTGAAGATGTCCTCAGTTGCGCCATTCAGCTGCTCCTGCAGCCGGGCAGCGTCCGCCAGCAGCTTGCGCGCATGGCTCGCCTGCGCATTGCGCTCCGTCACGGCTGCGGCAGCAGCTGCATGCAGCTCAGCCTGCGGAACAGGCCCCCAACGTGGGGCAGCAACAGTGTCAAACTGATTTCTCAGACACAGGCAGCTGCTGCTGCCGCTGCTGTGGCTGCTGCTGCTGCTGCTGTTGCAGGGCTCTGCCAGCGGACTGCTGCGCATGCGCACTGCTTTTTGCGGCAGGCCGAGCTGTTGCTCCCGCTGCAAGCCACGAGCGGTGGCAGCAAATGGAACGTCAACCCACCTGCTGGCCTTCACTAGCCTCAAGCCGCCGCTTAAGCGCTGCAATCTCAGCATCCTGCGCCGCTTCGGAGCGCGCCTCGGCCAGCTGTGTGGACATAGCAGGTAACAGCCAGTATCATTAAGGTCAAGCAAATGTGGCCCCTGCCGGCGCCCCGCTGGCTACCAAGGCATCTTGCTAAAACGTGCCTGCTCTCGTTGTTATTGTGCTCGCAGCGTGTCGCAGGCTTGCAGGTCCGCAGATAGCAGATTCGCAGCCTGAAAACCAACCTGCGTGGCCTCCGCCAGCTCAGCAGTCAGCCGCTCCGCCTCCGCTGCCAGCTCCTCAGCGCGCCCCTCTGCCGCAGCCGCCCTTGCCGCGACGGCTGCAGACCCCGCGCTCGCGTCCCGCGCCGCCGCCAGCTGCTGCTGCAGGTCGCTGTGGGCTGCCGCCATGTCCGATAGCTCCTCCTCCAGGCGGACGCGATCCGTGTTCGCAACGCGCATCTCTCCTGTGACGGAAGCACAAGCATCTCATGAAGTGTTTGTGTGCTTGCACCACACACGCAATTCTACGTCTTGAAAAAGGTGGCCTAGGCTGCTGCCGCCCGCTCGTTTGATGCACCAATGCTCAGAAATGACCAGCAGTCGGCCCCCATGCCCCAGCTCACCCGTGAGGCGGTCGAGGTTCCTCTGCTGCTCGGCCAGCTGCCCCTCCATCCCTGCTAGCGCCTTGCCACGCCCTGCCAGCTGCGCTCCCAGCGCCGTGAGCGACGCGCGCTTTTCCTCCAGGGTGCCTGCAGAAGTGCAGCGTCATGGCGGCAGCGAGGGCTGTGGTAATCAACAGCATAATGGAAAGGGTAGACAAAAGATGCGCAAAATAATCAGCTGTGACCGTGATCGCATTGCACAACCACACCATCTTCAAATTGTGGGGGTCCAGGTGGGGTGAGGCTGCCCGCGCGAGTACTCCTGCCCTGGGCGCACCTTCCAGCCCGGCCTTGTGGCGCTGCAGCTCTGAGATGACGTTCATCAGCTGCTGGTGCTCGTCAAGTTTCTGCGGGCGCGCGGGACCGTTAGTGGCGCGCGATGTGAATGACAGCGAGCGCAAGGCGCACGCACCTCGTGCTCCCTTACGGCGTCCGGGGCGCTGCAGTCCCACCCTTAAATTGCTGGCCGCGTCATGCAAGCTGCATGGGGACAGCGAGCCTGCACACCTGCGCCAGCGCCCCCTTGAGCGCCGCCTCGTTGCTGCGAAGCGCCGCCTCGCGGCTCTTGAGGTGCTCCTCGCTCTCTACCAGCGCCTCGACCTGTGATACAGACAGATGTACGGTGCAGGCAAACAGCAGATTGCGCCAAGGCACACACTTAGCACGAAACTGCATGGTTGCCATTGCCTGAAGCTCGACAGGCAGGGAGGCAAGGCTGTGCGCGCAGACAGAATGGTGCCGCCACCAACCTTGCTCTGCAGCTGGTTGCGCGCGACCTGCAGCAGGTTGACCTTGCTGTTGGCCGCCGCTAGCTCGTGGCCAAGCCGCTCCATCTCCTCTGCGCCGAGCGCCGCCTCGCTGGTCGCGGCCTGCTCGCGGCGCCGAGCGTCCCGCAGATCCTTCTGCAGCTGCACCAGCCGCGGGCTGGGCGTGTGCTCCTGGTGGCAGACACATGGGTCAAGGGCGCGTCAAGGCGGCGGCGGCTTGTGTGATTTTACATGAGATGCTTTCGCTAAACAGGCGCGCCGATGTCATAGGGCTGGGCGGTCGGCAGTGGGTAAGTGCAACGTTGTACACACAACATGTTAAGCTTGGAGGCCATCTCCCAGCGCCCACCTCTTCATGGCGCGCGTCCATGAGCTGCTCGTGCAGCTGCTTGTTCAGGGACTGGGCAGCCATCAGCTCCGCCTTGACCAGGTCAATCTGCATTTTGTTAAAGGACTTTGTTCAGAGACTGTGACGGCTGTGAATGCCAGGCATATTGATTTCTTATTGATTACGTAACATGCACAGCTCGGCCTGGTAAACCGAGCTGGGAAGCTGCTGTTTAGAAAATGCTGCAGCATTACCGGCGTTGCTCACCTTGTGATGCATCTGCCCCAGTACATCCGTCTGCACCATGGTCTGCTGCAAAGTCGCATCCCTCTCAACCTGCATGCGCGCACCGGCAGCGACGTACACCAATTAGTCGTGCATGCGCATTGCTCAGCCGCATGCGCTGTACCTAAGTCCTTGCAGGGCGTGCAGGAGGGTCGGCTAGGGTGAGCGTTGAGGCTAGACAATGGAGCGGCTCACCTGCACTTCGCTCAACTCGCTCATCAGCTCGTTGATGCGCAATTGCAGCTGTGCTGTGCTGGTCATGTTATGCGACAGGGCCTGGCAAGGAGCATTGGAAAGGGCAGATTCGGCTGCTTTGTAGCAGCAGTGGCACTCTCCTGCGGTGGTCATTGCTGCTGTTTTGACTCATTGGCCTGCTCAAAGCCGTGCACAACATGGGGTTTTACGGGCAGAAATGCGGAGTGGAGGTCCTTTGTCACTGCAGGCCGCACGAAATCAGTGCCCACCGTGCGCATGAGCTCAGAAGTGGTTGAAGTAGCCAGATTGCCGCAGCGCTCGTCATCCAGCTGGCGCTGCAGGTCCGCCACCTGTGCGCGCGCCTCCTGCATGCAGCAGAAAGAGTTGATTTATGCAAGCGCAGCGTTAGAAGGCGAATGATATCCCACAACCTGAGAGTCAGCAACATGCCTTCTGACGCATGACATGCGTCATGTGCGAACAGCAAGCACAAACGCCTTTTGGGCTGCCACAAACCTGCAGGGCCGTGCTGTCATGGGCGTGGCCCTGCTGCAGCTGCTGTCGGAGCTCCGCCTGTTCGCCTTCCGATCGTGCCAGCGCAACCTGCATGAGCACGTGCAGCGGTTGCGTGGGCTTGCACGTCCTCACTTGCGCAGGCTGAGGTGGGCTTACTTGCGAGTGTTAAAGCACACACATCAATGGCAACCGTAGCCAGATAGTCAACACGCCACGCACCTGCAATCGCGCCTTCTCAGCTTGCTCTGCTTCCAGGCGTGTGTGCGCCTGTGCCAGCTCCGCAGCTGCAGCTGCTGGTGCACGTTGACAATGTTGAACTTAAGGATGCAGGAAGTGTAGTGGTGTTCCTGAGCTCCATCGGGTGTGCTGTGTGAAGCAAGACGCCTTATCGCAGGTGCACAACCTTGGAAGCGCCTCTGCCAGCCGCTCAACCCGTAAATGCATACGTCGCTCACCAGCAGAAGGGGCCCCAGCTTCGGGGCTCGTCGACAGGGTGGTTCGCGGGGGGTTGCTTGCAGCCCCGACTGAGTGGCCCCGACTAGCAGCGCTGCTCGCGCCGAGAGCTGCGCCCGCCCCGCGCGCCGGCCCGCCGGGTGCGGCCCCGTGCTGTGCTGCGTAGCTGGGCAGCCGCGAGTTGGAGGGCCTCAGCAGAGAGGAGACGTCGGATGATCGCCGCGGCGTAGCGTATATGCTGCTGCTGCCCTGCGCGTCGGTAGGCAGCGGGGTCAAGTCAGGGACGCAGGCGGACCAAGACGCAGTACTGCCGTGCAACGCATGCAAGCCCAAAGCCATGCCGAGCTTGCGGCGCCCCGCCGCCTGTACCCGCACCGTGCTCTTGGTTGCCGACCCTGGCGCCCCAGCGGTGGCGCCGCCCTGGCCGGACGCCGTCCGCGTGCCCGATGAAGCGGCCGAGTAGGTCGAGCCCGCACGCGCGCTGCGTGGGGGCTGCGAGAGGGCCTTGAGGTTGAGGTTGTCCACACTCCTGGACAGCACGTCCGGGCCGCCGTGCAGCCCCGACGACTGGCGCTGCAGAGCCGTGGAAGCCCTGGGCAGTTTGCGGTTCACGAAGTGGGTTTGGGTGAGCTGTTGCCGGCAGTAAGCGGCAAGGGAGGGAGGGACAGGTGTCTTTGATTCAATGACATCGGCTGGCGTTCCTGCCGAGCTCGATCAGTAGCCATGCAGGGGCCTCGGCGCCACTTCACTGGCTGTTGCTCCAGCGCCGACCTGCTTGTGCTTGAGAACTTTGGCAGGTCCCTGGGCAGCTCCACAGAGGCCCTCGTCGTCGATGCTTTGGCAGCGTAGCCTCCAGCTCTGCGTCAGCAGACCGTGGTTTTGATTGAGGATGCCGGTTCAAACTCCCGAACGACAGACATCACCCCTAATCCCACCTGCTGGAGCCACCGCTGTGCGCCCTGCTGATTCCGCAGTGTGTAGGAGATGTGTCTCTCTCCGGCACGGGCTGCAGATCCCTACCCGAGGCTGCACCATTCGCCTTGCTGGTCATGCTGCCTGCTCCTGAGAGACGCCTGCCATCCGAGCTCATGGAGCCCCACAAAATAATCTACTAAGAGCTTGCGCTGCGTGATCGCTCCCAGATCATGTCTCAGCGTCTGAAGACACCGCGAGTGCCGTACGATAGCACACAGACTGCGGCACCCAGCATCCAAGTGCTACAGGACAGCTGGTGGTGCTGGAAGTCACAGTGACGTGACAGTGACCAAGTGCCGCTCAGGTCCCGTTATGGCCATGGCAGGTCCCGTTGCGTTGTTGTGGGCCCTGGCAAGTTCGGCTGTGAGGTGGCGTTCAGGGCAGTTCAGGTCTGGCAGTTTATCTTAGTTGGTTGCGCACGATGCGGGATCTGAACAATACGTTACTGAGTTACCGCCCAGCCGCGTGGGCAGAGCCGACAAATTGCAGTGGAATCTTTGGTTGCTGCACCCCGGTCCATCCTCTCATCCTCTCCCTCCAAGAATCCAACCGACACATGGAACATTGCACGTAGCCTGCAAACTCAAACACACAATGGACATCATTCCACTGCTGTACAAACCGTTTGCCATCCTGCAGCACTGTGAAGGACAAACACGTGAATGAGTGAAGGCGTCCGCAACATCGGGTGCTGCAACAACACTACTCACAAGGCAACAGCCTTGCCCGTGTGCCGCTCCTCCAGCCGCTGCTGCAGTTTTTCAAGTGTATCCTTGAGCATCGCCGCGAACTCTGCCTGCATCTGCTTGATCTGCTGCTGGTGGCGCAACTCCTGCGGCAAGGGCCGGATTTTGCCAAGGTTCAGCATCCCTGACTGAACACACAGCGGCTGCTGGCGCCAGGCCACGGTGAGCATGCAGCACGCCAGCCAACCTGCACCTGGCCTCACCCACGCTCACCAGCTCTGCCTCATGGCCCTGCTGCTGGCCCATCCGGCTCTGCAGCCCCACAATAGCCGCCTCACGCTCCTCCAGCTGTCCGCGCAGCTCCCGCTGCTGACCCTCCAGCTCATTTATCCGTCTGTCCAGCTGCTCCCTTGCGCCCTGTTGGGACCAGGACAGCCATATCGGCGGCTTTGAATCGTATGCAATGCAATGCTATGCAGTAGATGCTTCCATTACTTGGTGTTGTGTGTTGCACTTTGCAAGGCTTGCAAACACAAAGGCTGCCTCACATCAAATGCTCCCACGCACACACGCCTCTGGCCCACCTCGCTCTGCCGCTTGATGTCTGCAGAAACATCCAGCATGTCGGAGCGAAGTTGATCAAGCGCAGCCTCGGCTGCCTCGGCGCGCTGCCGCCACGCCCGCTCCGCATGGCGCGCCTCTGTGGCCTGGCACGAACAGATGACACTGTGAGGCCCGCTGTTACGTGACTGCGCCGACAACACACATGCTGTCATGTTGAGTTTGCAGGAACACAAGGCCTCCACTTCAATTGCGACAAGGCCCTTTCTGGCATCATCGCGCGCCGCTTCGTCACCACCTCAACAAGTGCCCGCGCGCCCTTGCAGCTTAGCTCAGCTGCAATGATGTAGTGGCATCACCTCGTGCGCTTTGATGTCCAGCAGCCGGTTCAACGACTGCACCTCCGCCTCAGCCCATGCCAGCCGTTCCTTCTCGGCTGGTTTTCCGACATCAGTTTTCTTGATTGCTTTTGGCGGCATGCCCCGCGGCCACCTAATGCAGCACCGCGGTCAACCTGCACGTGCGTTCAGTGTTGACCGCTGCGCCAGAGCGCGCACTTTGCGGCCTGTCTTGAAGCCTCGGCAACCGGCGCTAGCTGTCACACCCGATTAGCATGCTGTGTCGCGGTGCCGACGTTCCCGAACCACCATGCCGCTGCCAGGCGCTGATGGGTTCACCCCGTGCTCTGAGCAAGGCAATTGTCATGCAGGATTTGATGCGTGTAGACGTCAAACTGCTCAAAATGCTGCTTTTAAAAATTTTCGTCTAAAATACGGGAGAGGTGAGAGTAGATCCAAGGTCGTGGTCTCGTCTGCGTCAGTTCTGTTGCTGAGCACGGGGGCACCGCAAGGGCGCCAAGGCGATTGAAACGGAAAGAAGCGCCGATAAATTTGGTGAGATTAATATCACGATTCAATCACAATCCAGCCATCGAGCACGAGGACTGGAGTGAGTGCATGCATCGGTGAAAGCGACCACGGCCCCCTCGCGGGCTACGAGGACTCAAAGCGTGCTCCCATTTGCCACACGACAGGCTGCAGGCCCCTGACGCGCCCGGCGCGCGCGGGGCGCCCCGCGTCGCGCGCGGCCCGGGCGCTGTGAGCACGCTCGCTCCCCACGACACTGTGCGTGCCACCGGCCTGAACAGCCGGCCCCTCAGCCGCTGCGCCGCTGCGGCGCCGCTGGAGCGATGTTCACGGCTGACTGGGCGCTGCGGCGGGTCCTGAAGTTTGTGCTCAAGCGCAGCGTCGGGAAATTCCTGCAGACCGACCTTGATTTGGAGCAACTGGATGTACAGCTCGGTACAGGCGCCGTTGAGTTGCGCAACGTCTTGCTGAATTGCAACACCATCAACCAGCGGCTGGTGCGTCACCCGCGAACGACACTGCGCGCGAGGAGGGCGTCAGGGGCCGGCCGGGCGCGTGGCGGGCGGGGAGGGAGCAGGGTCGGCTGTGTAGGGCGCTGCGGGTGCCGTCGGACCCTGGCAAATAGCAATGTACCATTACTGGTTGTATTGCTTGTGTGCAGGCCGATGCATGGGTGATGCGCTGCAACTGCCTCGCCTTTCTGCCGCGCCAGCATCGTCTGCGCATGTCCTTGCATGCATGTTGTCACACGCATGATTTCACGCGGTGCCGCCACTCACATGCGCGCCGCCACCTCGCCCCATGCCCTCCATGCAACCGCGCCCGCGGCGCCTGTGCAGGCGCTCGAAGGCTGGCGCGTCACCGCGGGTTATGTGGGTGCTGTGCGTGCCAGCATCCCACTGGCGACGGTGGCCGCGGCGCAGCAGAGCGGGTGCTCTCCGGGCTCTGACGCACGCGCAGATGTCGAACTGGATGAGATCTTGATCAGCCTCGCCCCCATCACGGCTGACGACGCCGCCGACAACGCCCGCGCCGCGGCTGCGGCCGCAGACGGCCCGCCGCCGGCGCCCGGCCGGGCGGAGGCGGCGCCGGGCTGGGGCGGCGGCGGCGGCGTGGCGGCCGGTGGGCGGGACGGCCCCGGCGGCGCGCTCGGCGGGCTGGGGGCGCTGCTGAGCCTCGACGACCTGGCGGG